GAAGGGGCCAGGCGGGGTCAGCCCGTGGACTTGGAGAAGAAATTGGCCAGTGGGGATTGCTGCAATGGGAGGGGATGTCACTGTGGCTCTGAGTTACCGCATCAGTGCCAGCCCCATGGTGGCACTGCATGTGGGGATGTACCTTGGCTCTTGCACCCAGCTTGGCCTGAGACGGAGGCCCTCCAGGGACAGGGACACAGATCAGTGTGCGTTCTCTGTGTTCCTCCGTCGCGTGGCACGTTAGCCTGTGACTGCCGCAAGGCAGGAGGTAGCAGACACGAGGGCGATGGCAGCCATGCCTCTGTCCTGCGCTACCATCTTGTCACTGCTTTGCCTCTCCATGCCCAGGCTCTCATCCCATACCATAGTCAACCCCGCGCCATCTCCCAGACTTGGACCAGGCCCTAGTCTTCTGTGGTAGCTAGGAGTCTCCCTGCTGCCGCCCCTGTCCCAGCAGAGCCACGGCCCTCCTGGACACTCCTGTTGTGTGCTCTGTGAGACCCTCCTGTAAGTGCATCAGGGGAGGTGCGGGCGGTGAGGAAGGAGCGTGCTCCCCGCCGAGAGTGAAGTTCCTGCTGTGCAGAGCTCTGCAGCGATTCAGCTCCCAAACCGCATGCTGGTCTGCACAGAAATAAATTTCACTATTCGTGGTGCTAAAATGGAAAGCAGTAGGTCACAGACCCAGGGCCCTCTGGTTTTCCTGGCATGGATAAATTGTTTTGCTAGTGCTCATCTATTCATTCTACATTTCAGAACTAACCCTATAGAAAATTAACACAGTAGGGCCTCTCAGTGCCTAAAGGAAGAATTTTAAAAGTAATGCAAACCCAGAGAATGTGGACAACTGGCAAGAGCTTGCTGCATCTCAGCCCAGACACAGTATTACGGCACCTTTTCAGCAGTACGGTTGAAAGAGCAACAGAGTTGGTGTAACTACCTCTCCTTTACAAGGCAGTCATGGAGGCCTTTGTCAGTGCTGCCCATTGAAGCCTTTTTTATCAGCCCCGTCTGGAGCTGTTCTGTGCATACAGTATTGATTCATAAGCGCTAACATTAGCAAGCATGCCATGTAGCAGCATTTGTATAATGTGGATCAATACTCATTAGGTACAGAGGGCACAGAGCTCTGCAAGCAGCAGCAGCCTCTTTGGTAGCACAGTTTCTTCCAGAAAGACCACAGCAAACTGTGGGTGACCTTTGGAAAGCCCTGGCCAAGTTGTGTTTGCAGATCTTTCCTCCACCCATCCCTGTTGTCCTCTCAAAGTTTCTCTCAAGGCCTGAAGACCTCAGAATGCCTCTCCTACCCGTAATCTGCGCATTTTACTTGTATGTTAGCAGCATCTATAAACCATAGTGAAACTGCTTGCTCATAGTTGGTGGTATTAAATGCTGCTTGAGAACAAAGAAATCCCATTTGGTGGCCATTTTAATAGAAGTCCATGAACCTCATTCCTGCCAGACAGAAGCGCTTCCTCTACTTCTGTAATTTCATCCACTGAACTGACTTCCAAACTGTCGCAGGCCAAATCAGATGTCCTTTTTTACTTCTTCAAAGAAGGAAGAAAGAGGCAGAAGGACCCATGCACAGTGGGCTGAGCTCTGTTCATTGACATCCTTTACCAGTGGCCTTTACGCTGCTGAAATGAACCCGGGTGGCCAGGTTGGAGCCAGAAATTCTGAGCAGCCACCACAGGTGCAGTGCCCGAGCTGGAGATGCAAGAAAAAGCAGAAAGCCACAAGCCAGGTGAGGATTTATAGCAAGTGATGTTCATGAGCTAAGTCTGAAACTTCTGATTTAAAATTCTGGAAGTAGAAGACCAGACTGGAAAAGATGGCATGGGAAAGTGAGGTGATTAAACCAGTCCCCACTCCTTCCGAGTACAAGAACCTCTCATTTTGCGGCTTGCCGGTGACTGGGTTTCTCTACTGTCCAGAGGTTTGAATGAAGGAGAAAGTCCTCAACATTTCTGACTTGTTAGCTTGAATTCCCTCGACCAAGTCATCCAGATCCCTTGTGTTCATCCAAGAAACTGTTTTCTGCCATTTATAATGAGCCAGGATGGAGGGGAAATAGCTGGAGATTCACTTCCTCAACGTTGTAATGTAGTTGGAAAATACTTAGGCAATGCATTTTGCAGTCCCTAGGACTGAAGAGCAGCAGCCGTGGCTCTAGCTCACTGACTGTAGAGCAGCACTGCTCCTTGAGCTCCCATAGCTACATGAACAAACCTCGAGATGAACTACTAAGATGTCGAGCGTTTAGACCTCTCCAGCATCATAAGTGTAGTCTCAGCCAAAATGAAACCTTTATTTTCCGAGAAGGCACCTGCATGACCAAAAGTAGCATTTCAGTTTGCAGATCTGGTTTTATCTGTATGAAATCTTCACAGCGGGCAAAAAGACGGCTCAGTAAAAGAGGCTGAAGCGTTGAATGAAATCTCAGCTTGCAGAGTGAATATACCACATCAAGCCACTCTGTTTGCCTGCGGCTCGGCGCCTTCTGAGGTCGTGTCCTTCTGAGGTGACAGGACCTGCTCAGAAAGCCCATTACGTTTTTTTTTCAGCGCACCATTGTACTTCTGTTCTGTGGGGATGGCACAGGGAAGAATTTGGCCTGTCAAAGGCTGTTTGACCTAAAATAATGTGAGGTGCAGAAGAGGAGTTGTTCCTACCCCCCAGCTCCGACTGCTCTGGTAGCTCAGACTTGTTCGTTGCTGTTTGAGCAGCATGGGAGAGGGCTTGCTTGGAAGGAAATTCTCTCTCTCCAGCTTCATGACCATTTCTGTTACAGGTTTTTCTTTTGTTATGGTTGTATGTTTCATTGTAGGCCCCTTCTCCTGTGAACCCCAATGCCCTGGACCGCACTGCTGCTTGGCTTTTGAATATGAACATGCAGTTTTTAGAAGATGAAAGCATTGACCCAGATTCCAAACACAGGGATAAGCTCAGGAATAAGGACGAGCTCAGCCAAGCAGAAAAGGTAAAACCTGATTGGATTGAAACAGTTTCTAAATAGAGAGAGGATTTCCTTGAATGTTGTTCATCTGAGCACCCTGGGGATAAGGTGGGCTGTGTGGCACGTCCCTGCCCAGGAGAGAGAGATATCAGTTTGCTCTGTGCCCGGCTGCTCAGCCTCACAGGGCGCTTCTGGGGAAGGTTTGGGAGGTTTTCACACACTCAGTGACTGGAATTACCCTCTGATGAAAGCAAGTAAGAAAAACAGGAGCCAGGAATCAAATGCTGGTGCTGCTCTGCAACAAACTCTGAAGCCAGCCAGTGCCTGTTACTTCCCCCATTCCTACTCCCCCTGGCTGCAGGGGGAGAAAGCTTAAAAAGTGAATTAAGCACACCTATAAAAGAGATGAGTGAGGTACAGGCAGCCTCGTGCCTCACAACAGGGACGTGTAGCAAGAAGCAGCTTCCATGTCAAAAGGCTGTAAACAGACCTAAAAATTAACTCCAGATTCTGGTCTCAGAGGCAGCACTGGGGCCTGGGGTGACTTGGGTGGTGCAGTGACACTGCCCCGAGCTTATGGCTGTGTCACACAGACTGGGGCCTGACCAATCTGGGGCTCTGTCAGGAAGTCAGTTCCAGAGTATTCAGTGAGAGAAGCAGGGAAGAGACAGAGTAGGCCTGGCCAGGGGTGAAGAAGGAGGGTTAGAAATAAGGATCCAGCAGTCAAGAGCTGAGAAGATCCCATCTTTGCCAATTGCTGCTTCTGCAAGGTGCTTTCTCAGCAGCCTGGCTCTGCCAGGAGTGCTGCAGTTGGGCACAGTTAGCATTTGGGATGTTTCCTCAGTGTGCTTCTCTTCTGTCACACCAGCCGCGTGTTACCACCCGGTCCCACAGAACTGCAGACATCACCCTCCCTGAGCCTCTTCCCTGTTTTTGCGGCACAGACATGTTTCTGTTTTTGTTACGATGGCCTTCCTGTTCTCATTTTGCTGTGCTGTATCATTTTGGGACTGTCACCTGTTAAATTCAAGTGAAATGCCAAAGGCAGGTATCGTAGGGACGGGGAGGTACAAAGCGATGGCTCCCAGCTGCCCCAGGAAAAGCGTGGTGGAGTTTTGTGAGAGTTCAGCCCATTTCTTACTGGCTTTCTGCTGCTTGGGTATTCCTGTAAATACACAGGCATGTACTGGTCAGATAGCAGCTGACACAGAAAAATGTCCATGTTTAGCAGACTTTGTTTGCAGAGGTATAGAAATCCTGACTACCACCTAAGCAGAGACAATAGCAGGCAGCAAATCAAAGAGAAGGCATTGTCAGACTGGTGCGTCACGCACTGGGTTATTGCTGCATTTAGTCATTGAAGGGCTTCAGAAAGGGTTCAGTGCTCACTCGAGTCTGTAAAGGAGATGACAGCGGCAAGCTTTGCGGTTGCAGTGGAACTGGAGTGAGGTGAAATGCCGAAGGACCACACACTAAGAAACGTGTGCTGGCCTTCTCCAGCTTACACCTGCCAGCTCCGGCAGGCAGGCAGATGGCCCTCCGGTGCGGACGCTGTGCATGCCAAGCGTTGTCACTAATCCCTTTCCTGGCACCCTTTCCTGTGAAACGGGCTCAGCTTTTACCAGGTGGACGCTCACAGGGACTGCTCTGTTTCCGTGCCAGCCCGAGGGGCCGCCGCACCCGGGGACGTGCCAGGCTCGCCCCGACCTGTGCAGGGAGGGGCTCACCAGCACGGGCCCTGCTCGAGATAGACAATGGTGGGACTACGAACTCTGACGGTATTGCAGCAAACCGGTCCCTGTCCCACATTCAGCGGGAGCCCCCACCCCCCAGAGCCTGCTCTGTCATTCCCATGCAGCATCTTTTGTTACTTTGCTGTCACATCAGTCACTGACATTAAAGATCGCCATTAGCATAATCTCTCTCCCCATTACTGTAAGACATGAATGGTAACCAAGAATGAGACAAGTGTTCTAGAGACAGGAGCGACTCCTTCGGTCTCTGAGGCCTCTCCTGCTATCATTTGAGCTCACTTACGCTGCTTCTATTTTAAGGCTAGGGTAGGTATTTAATCTTTCCTGTTCAAGCAACTCCCTTCTGTCTGACATTAGTGCTTCTGTGCAACTGTATGAGCATTTGTGTTCCTTCATCGCTTCAGGTTACATGTGCAAACTGTTGTTTCAGTGCCACAGTAAAAGCTTTGCTAAAGGAAGAACAGAGTGATCTGTTGTGCCTGTCCCTGCTCAGACAGAAGGAGCTCAGAGGTCCTGCCCATCTGCCTGCCACGGCTCGAATACTTTGGCAATTCAGGAAGACCATCAGCATCATAAATGTTCAATCCTTAGGAGTTGTTACAGTTAATTCTGCTGTCAGCCAGTCAGTTACTGGAGGGATATTAGGAAAGCAACTTGGATTTATATGAGCTGGGCATCCGGCTGACCAGTACACGGGCCGCAGCCTGCGTTCTCCTCTCACAAAGAGCTGATCTGCTGGTCAGACTCCCCAGCAGGGCTCTCAAAACTGGAACACAACCAAGTCCATCGTTTGAGTGCTTACGCAGGTGGCGATGGCCAAAGGGGAAGGCCGTATTTTCAGGTAGCCAAGTCAATACACAATTAAGCGCATTTCTGTCAGTTCAGGTATAACACTTGTAACTTTGTAACAGACTTCATGACTCAGATGGAAGTCTTTTTCCTATATCTGACTCTTTAAAAGCAGCTTGTCAAATTATCAGCTGCATGTTAATTATTCTAAGGTTATTCCAGTTGAGATTTTTTTTAAAAACAATTTCCAAAGATAATTTTTGGAAACTAAAATCTGTTTGGTTTTTTTTTTTTTTTACAGATAGGCACTGGATTTTCCTTTAGCAAAGCAAGTTGTACTGAATGCTGTGCTTCTGCAATAGCTGAACCTAGTTTTCTGAGTTAGAAAACTCTTAATTTTTTTAATTGCTTTATGTGATTCTTCCGCTGCTGATTTTTAGCTTCATCTGAATGAACAGTACAACTGTGGGGTCTTGGCTTCATGCAGCAGCTCTTCTCGGATTGAACCCTGGTTTGACATCTGATCACGTTGTTTAAAACATGCTGGGTCCCAAAAGGCGGTAGTGCTCCCTGCCCCGGCTCACGCCAGCGGGTTGCCCTCACCTTGATGAGGGGTGGCCACTTCGTGCCGAGACGGCAGTGGCCTGCGTCTGTCACTGCTGCAGAGCCTGGAGCCTGGCAGGAGGCAGGCAGCACTAACAGCTCCTGCTTGGCTTCCAGCAGCTCCAAAGCGCCCACATTTGTTGTAGACTGAAGAGCTCATGTGTAAACCCAAAATCCCACCAGTGCAGCTTCTCCTGCCTGTGTTTAGCCGTGCGCTGTTAGTGTGAGGAAGATGCCAGATGCGTTTGCCATTCACTCACTCTAACCTGCATTCCCCATGTGAAATGCCAGACTCTGCTAACAACCCATTCTCTGAACCTGCCAGTGACCTGCCCGCCCAGTGGAACGCAGCATCGCTCCTAGCGCAGTGTGGAGAAGACTGAAGAGGAGGTGTCGGCAAGCGGGGTTATCTGATACGGGTTTGCAGCTAGTCTAATGCAAGGAAAGGGGCATAATTGGGTTATGGGGAAACCCTGGCAAGGGCAAAGCCCTACTAGGTAACATGCCACATGTGTTTTCTCCTCCTCTGTCTGTCCTTGCGTGCTGTAGTACCAGCAGGACCTAGTGGTGCTGCAGGACAAGCTTCGCATCTCCAACAAGAAGCTGGAGGAGTATGAGACTCGCTTCAAGTGCCAGGAGGAGACAACGCAGAAGCTGATGCTGGAGTACCAGGCCAGGCTGGAGGAGAGCGAGGAGCGGCTCCGGAGACAGCAGGAGGATAAGGAGATCCAGATGAAGGGCATCATCAGCAGGTACAGGGGAGGTGGGAGTGCTGGAGATGACAGTAAGGCAGGCAGCCTGGCTGGTGTTAGAGCCGACCCCTGCTCAGGCGAATCAAGTTTCTTTGGAGGAGCAGGCAGGTTTCCCATGTGGGTTTTCCAGCATTTATTCACTTTCTGGCCTTCTTGGGTTACAGCCCCTGGGGGAATTTCAAGCCCTGACTCTTTAGGTCCTCCATCAGTGTTACCTGGGACAAGGAAAACCCCAACATTTTCCTGATTCACAAAGGCAAAACGTGAGGATGGGAGAGCTGGCAGCCTGCCCCAGTTCTCAAAGGATCTGGCAGGCTTGGTCTTCTGTTCATATGAGCAATAGATGTAACGATCAAAATGTTCTTTCTCTGATGTTTAGCTAAAGATCTTATCACCATCCCATTACTCCTAGCTATAAATCCCTTTCTCCCACCCAATGGGATGTGGTGTTTACATTTGTCCGGGACGTAGACTGTTCCAGTGCAGCTAGCTTCACCTTTACCTGAGCCAAGCCAACTTGGTGCTTTTAATCAGCCCTCATAAATTGGTCAGCCTTCATGTTCTGAATCACTTAAGCTTTGGGACAGTCTGCTGTAGAGGTCTCTCGAGAAGAGTAAGAGCCAGAAAAAAGACTGGTTCTAAACTATTGGTTTGTGTGTAAGAAGAGTTAGTGCCAATGACCGTGTGTCTCCTTTGTGCTCGAATGCACAACTGTGGGTCCTGGGAGCATCTCAGTGTGTGCCTCAGCATTGCAATTTCAGATGAGATGGTTTGACCTGGTATGGATGATGGGGGCTGCTATGTGAGGCCAGTTCCATCTGTAGACTAGCTTCTCTGGTATTTCACATCTCTTCCTACGTGCTTCAGAGATGTGCATCACCCCTTTGCTTCCTTGGTGTCGAGGACTAAATGAGGACATGATCTGTATCATTCACTCTGGGTGGCTGATTTAGACATGTATGAGACTAATATCTGCGCTTAGCAGAGCCCAACAAGTGTAATTTTTTTCTTGTCTGTCCGGCTACCAGACTGATGTCAGTTGAGGAGGAGTTAAAGAAGGACCATGCAGAAATGCAGGCTGCTGTGGATTCCAAGCAGAAGATTATCGATGCACAGGTGAGTCCCCGATACCAAGGGCTGCAGCACTTTTCAGGGCGAGTCTGCCAACATGCACCCTCCCTGCCATGCAGCAGTGCCAGCTCAAGCACAGCAAGACTGTGCGCGTGGGTGAGTCAGCACCAAGCTGCAGTCAGTGACAGAGCCGGTCAGACTTCAGCAGGGTGCGATTTATTGTCACAGCGTTCACATACATAGCCTTGGAGCTTGGCAGGCAACACAGAGGATGTGGGGGGTGGCAGTTTGTGGAAGGATTATGCCCACAATTAGTCAGTTTGTGGAAGGATCATATCCTCATTGGCTCAGTCTGAGGTCCCCGGAGCTTTGCTTGGTGCTTCATGTTCCAATAACGCTTGCAGGACCTGGGTACAAGGAACACAAAGCCTGGCCAGAGCAAAGCCAACATATTTTTTCAGTGTTTGGGTTGTGGCTTCCAGGATTGGGAAGCTCAGTTATTGCTATAGATTACAATGGGAGAGGAGCATCAGATGATGGGTGCAAAACACTATGCTTGGAAAAGAGAATCTGAAAATACGGTCCACAATCTTTTAATTTGTCTAGGCATAGATCAGCATCTTCTCAGCAGCTAGGCCTTCCTACAGGTTGTGGCTAGGTGATAGTATATTCTAGGCTGACTCTTAATGACCCTATTAATCACTTGTGAGTCGCTACTCATGACTAATTTATTGTATAGCTATTTAAAAAGGAGATGAGGCAGTAGTAACTTTGTAAAAAGAAGTGCTGTTTTTCTGTAGAGTAATTTGTTCAAAGCTAGTAAATCATCATGTTCCCTTCTGCACTCCGGCAAAGCCAAGCAGATGCCGGGGTGTCCATAAGGTGCGAGCGGTGCAGACTGCAGCCTGCCAGTAGCTCTCGACAGGCTGTCCTGTCTCCTGCCATCGCGTGTGTTACATGTGAGGCTCTTACCATGAGCCAGTCTACACTGTTCTCTTTTTGTTATCTCAGGCTGTACAATAGTGTTGGACATGTTCATACATGGACCTCCAAAGTTACACACAGGCAAACCACCGTGCCCCTCTGAGTTGGTTCTGTTCCTCCGCTAATGGCAGACAGAGAAGGATGATGACTTGTTCAGTGTCGCAAAGAGCAGGAGTGGCAGAAGCAGGCTGCAACAGAGAAGCTCTTGCTCCCATCCTCGTGATACTGTAATCAGTGAGAGTTGCCATCAAAGCCTTCCTGGGAGGCCACAAGTCATTTAAACTATTAATTTAGACTAACAAAATCAATTAAACACTGTCAGGAATAACTATCTTGGGAGAGCACTAGGTTTTAGAAGCAGAATTTTGCTGTCTTTGTAACAGCTGCAGTTAGAGCAAACAGTACAATGAATTTCTGTATAACTGAAGAATTAGAGAAACTGTTATCTCCATTTTGTTCAGGATGCCAAAATGAATTTAGCTCACATTGCACAGGCAGCGTACAGTTGTGGCCCTGCTAATAGCAGTGGATTTAAAAAAACGCTGCGTAGCACTTAAAAAACCCACACTTAAGAATGCCAAAGAGAAGGGTCCTGGTCCAAGAGGCCTCTGGGTCGCTGTCTCAGGACAAGCCCTGGCATCACAGAGGGACAGGTCTCCATGCGTTTCCACTGACCGTTCCCCTCTGCCCGTTTGTTTGCAGGAGAAACGCATTGCTTCATTGGATGCTGCCAACGCACGGTTAATGAGTGCCCTTACTCAGCTGAAAGAGAGGTACAGCATGCAGACACGTAATGGGATCTCCCCCACAAACCCAACTAAATTGCAGATTACAGAGAATGGAGAATTCAGAAACAGCAGTAATTGTTAACCCGTGGAGGGTGCTGCCGCAGGAGAGGAGGCCTGGCCAGAGAGACCGTGCAGCAGCAGGTGTGAGCCGCGGCTTCAAAGAACGGCTGCTCTCTCCCCCCAGAGAAACCAGCTCCTTACTGCGGACGGCGCGCTTGACTGAGCCTTTGTGGGAGATGCTAATGCCAGCACATTGAGGGGACGGAAAGATCGAGTGTGAGATGAGTGGCATAAGGAAATAACATATATTTGAGAATCGCTGTCACTGTTGGATTTAAATCAGTGTTTAATGTTTAAACAAAAGTAACCTTTTCCTTCTAAACTGCCCAAAGGATATGCCTCACCCCTCCCAGCAAGGAATAACGTCCTTGTCATTGCAGTAAGCGAAATACAGGGAGCTGGGCAGAGCCTGCAGCAGGCAATGACCCAGTAAGTCCAGTTAAAGTGTGCTGCTGGATGTAGCTGTACGAGGGATGGCAGCAAAGCTTGGCCCGCTCCTCCTGTGACTCCCCCCGGAGCACAGCCCTCTCCCAGAGCAAACCCCGAGCCGAGCCCAGCCGTCTTTCCTTACGTGGCTTTTGTGAGGCCACTGACTTTTACAGCAGGTGACTGTCCACGGGGCATTTATGCAGCTAATTAGTGTTTAATTCACTCCGCCCATCTAGGGAGCACAGTCCAGATGAAAGGTCAGGGCGCACTCTGTGCGGTGTGGTAGCCAAAGGGGTGCTGCGTGGGGAACCACGGCGGCAGGGCAGTGGAGAAGGGCATGCCCCCTACTGCTGGGGCTCCCGGGGGTCCCCAGGCAGCCCAGGGGAGCAGAGCAAGCCCAAGGCTCTGGCACGCAAGTGGAGGGAGGAGCTGGCACCTGGTGAATGGCGACTTGATTCCTCTCTACGCCTTCTGCTCTCTCACAAATAATGGAGAAAAGTCTTTGTAAGCAATAGGCCCAGGGCACCGTCCCCCCCACGCACACTTCTAGCCACAGAATAAAGTAAGTGTTGCCTGAGCTTGGTCCCCGAGCTGTGAATGAGGTACGGGGGCTGGATTTCTTGGTGCCCGTTGTGGTAGAGGGGGAGTGCGGGGCTACGTGAAATGGCCAGCTTCTTGCTTGACAAAGGGTTCGTTATGGGGATGATGTAATGCTCTGTGCAGAGATATTTACTATTTCTGGGGAGAAAAACAGACAAAGAAACAAGAAAAAGCCCTGAAGAACCATGAAGATCGGTAATTGTATTTCTTTTCTTTCACAGTATGCATTAGAAAAAAAAAGATCCCATTTTCTGGAATACTGTCCTCTTTAAATTGGGAATGAGCACTGCATGGAAATTAACCGGCTCGAAGAATGTAAAACATGGTCATAAGGGAGTAACCAACAAGAACAGCAGCCACCACCGAAAGCCCCCTTGTCAGGAGCACTGTGCAGGCATAAGCCAGGATTAGACTTTCCTAACTGCTGAAACACGCAGATTCGGCACATTCAGACACGTTGTGCTCAGCGGAGGGGTCACCTCCTTAACGGGGGATTGTGCCGCTGACCTGCCGCCACGGTGTGTTTGTTGGTTTGTGGTTTTTTAAGTTAGTACTTCATGACTCCCACTCTCAGAGCAGGTCACTTGTACCAAGAGCCAGAGAGATTTCTCTGAGATACGGATGACAGTGTACAGTGTACAGGACATCTGCCTATTCCTCCCACTAAAGTTTAATACACTGGTCAACGCCTGTCCTAGCTCCTCCTGCCATGTGTAAATGTACAGTCAAAGGGACTAGGATGTTCACTGAGCTCTGCACAGCTTAGGTACCGTCTCCAGCCTCACACTACCTAGGCTGCCTGAGCAGGACACTGTTTGCCAGTAAGCTCTGCATTGCCATGCTGCCCTACAGCCATAAGGCTCATTAACAGCATTCTTCCACATGCAATTGTTTTCAAAATTAAAGATGCTTTTTTCCCTAAACGTTTTTCTGTTCCCTGGAAGCCCTGGGCCAAGCCCGGTGCGGCTTGGTCCTTGGAGGAGCGAACGTGTTGCACTGAGGTCTCCACACCCCGCCAACGCCTGCAGAGTGGTGCAGTCACACAGCAGACCCCAAACGGAGCTCCTCAGAGAAAAGTCATAACTAAGTATTTATGACAAGTACAGTCACCTTTGAATTTTGGAGACTAGCACAGATGGCTTTGAAGAACCTCACAAAACTGACAAGGTTACAACTGGAGAAAGACCCAGACAGGGTAGGAATATACAGGGTATGTGAACCGTTGGGTACGTACACTTACATCTGCCATTGTCTCAGAGTCAAACACATTATAAGAACCCTGCAAAAAGACTATTTTAAACTGCTGTTGCCCTGAGATGTATGTTTAGAGCTGATTGATTGATTGTTTCTGAGTTCCAAAATATTTGTGTTGCAAGAGATGGAAGTTTTTCAAGAGAGAAGTAACATAGAGGAATGGAAACGCTAACAGGGCACAGGGGCGGGCGCCCCACCAGCAACGTTTCCATTCATACACGAAAGTAATTTTGGGATGCAGTCAGTGCTCTCCATAAGAGCTGGAAAAAAGAAACACCCACAAAACAATTGTTTAGTACTGAAGCTAAGCACAGTACATCTTAATCTTCTCAACTGTTCCCCCCTGCCCCGATCTGTCAGAAACTCCTGGTTAACCTCAAACTTGCAAATTACTGAACACACATTGTTCTGCTGAAATAGCAGGAACGCTTAAATCCTTCCACAGTGAGTTATTAAAATCTTGAAAGTTCCAATGCCAACACTTTCTGGAGTTCTTGCTTAGTTTCCTGAGCCAGTATGACAAAAAATCCAAATCAGGACAAAGTCTCGTTACAGTAAAGATCCCCCCCCCGGCCTCCTTCCCCCCCATCAACAATGGGACCTAAATGTGACCCTCCCTACAAACGTTTGGGGTAGATGTTAAGATCCAGGCTCCGTTCAGTCTGTTACTTCAGTTTGTGTTTCTGTTATTTATAAACTGTACATTTATATATGTGTGTGCGTGTGTGTGCGCATGTGTGCGTGAGGGAGCCAGCGAGCGCGCGCGAGCCCCGCGTGGCCAGGTTCCCCGACGTGGCCTCGGACCTGGTATCTGGCGTAGCAATACCGGAGGCAATCCCGAGAGGTGCGTGCAGCACCAGAGCAAAGCAACCACTGTCCGTAACGTTTTGTGATCTGCTCCATTTTTCCTTTTCGTTCTTGCGCTTTCTACAGTAAGGGGCTGTTCTAGTGCAAACGCGTCGAAGTGTAAACAAAATGAAAACACACTCAGATTTTTATCTTAATACAAGTCTTAATATTTTTTTTGTAAATGTTTTCAGTGTTTACTGTAACGTATCTATCTCACTAACAGTTGTATATAGTAACTTACTTCTGGTGCTGCTTATTTGGTCAGGATTTGGCTGTATCTCACTGCTGTTTGGAGAGGTGGACTCATAAACTGGCAAATCTGGATCCAGACACAGGTTATGATTTCAGCCTCCTCCCTTTGGGGATCTGAGGGAAGGGGAAGGGAGAGAAGCCAGGGATCCAGATTTGGGGTTGGTCCACCTCAAGGATTCTGTTTTAAGAGTTTTGATTTGGGGTTTTGTTAAACTGTAGTGAACACCTGAAAAAATGAGCAAATTTTGTGTAAAGGGGATGAAATGGACTGAACAGTATCCCAAGGTCTCTGCAGACTCTTAAGTATCATCGTTTTGGTCAGGGATTATGGACTGGAGGGACCCAAGTAAGTCCTTCCCCATGCCAACTAATACTACAGTGTAGTCACCAGCCCCTTTTGCACCAGTTTAAGCAAATCCTGCCACCATCCAAAGAGTCCTGCGTCACTGCATTGTCATTTGAGTCTGGTTGGTTTTGTTTTCTGCTTTTGCAGTTGTAAAGCACTGATTGCACTGTGAGAACACACTGAATCCTCTGGCCTGGCAGCCAGCCCCGTAGGTTGCTGCACGGTGCAGGACACAGGTTCTGCTACTATGAATATTCCTAAAGGGAGAAGGGACTTGGTGGACCTGAGAGAGGCACCACAGGCTCTCCTAGGAAAGCAATCAGCACATAATCAATCATTTCCAAAGTTTAGTGCGCTCATAGGCTTTTCTCTGTTACTAATGTCCATCCCCAGATGCAATAGAAAACATACTGAGGTCTGTTCTGTGACGAACAAGGAGAGGATTTTTAGTCACAGGAGATGGAAGATGCACTGATGCGTTCGGCCAGGACAGCCACAAGGTGTGGCTCATGGATTTGATCTGCAAGGGGCTCATTTCCCCCAGCAATCCCAGGGCAGGGGTTGCAGCCCCCAGCAGACGCCTTTCTGACCGCAGCACCTATGACCGGCGGTGTCCAGCAGCTCCACCAAGGTCACTGCCCTGTCCGTAACACGTAGCTTTGCCTGGAGAGGGTGAAGCGGAAAATCCAAAGGGAACAACTGTGACACTGTCCCTGGGGTAGGCGGGAGTCCTGTGCAGCACTCCGTCCTTCCCGCCCGCAATGACTGTTGGGGTCGACCTCTTCCCCAAAGGTTTGCGTTCGGAGCAATCCAGGCCTGCAGCCTGGCCAGTACTGGGACCTGACGTGGGTCAGAGCGCATGGCCTCGTGGCCACCAGGAGAGCCCTTAGCTGGCCCCAGGAGCGGGCACCGCCCATCTCCAAGTAGGTCTCTGACCCTTCAGGGCAATTTCAGAGGAGACAGCTTAGCCACAAGGCTTGGACGTGTGGCACCTGCCCTGCTCTCACCCTGCACAGATAACTGTTGCCTTTTGCTTTTCCCGTGGGGAAAATGACACATGGGGGGGGGGAAGGGGGGACAACAGCAGCATGCTAACATGCAGCTCATGGGCTTTACAAACCAAATCCATTCCTGAGGGCGTTGCACAACATTCAGAACCAACCACGCTTTGAAAAAGGGTGTCACGTTCAAGCATCGACTTTCACAGATCACCTGAGCTGTGACACTGCTGTAAATGCCATGTGGTTCTGCATCAGCTACCAGTACCCCAGAGTGCAGTCTCCATGTTCACATATTCCTTTATCATACATCACTGTGTCTTAAGATATACCTCTCTCTGTATATCTGCTTAGGCTGATACTTGTTCCTGATAAGCAG